GATATATTAATTGGCCTCAAAGCCTTGATGCTGTTGGATTTTTTTTTTAAGCAAAATTTTTTTTAAGCAATCGGCGATATTTGAACCATCATAACTCGTGATATCATAAAAATTAGATTGCGAATGAATTCGTTTTAATACATCTATGTAGGAACTAACAAAAAATTTAGTGCAAGAATTTCACCGACTATTTAAAATGAATACATGAAACATGTACCACATATAAGTACATATGAATAGTTAGACGTGCGAAAGAATATAACAATTCTTAGATTTTGTATTGTACTCTACGCTCTGGCAGAAAACTTTTGTACAGGTCTTATAACAAATTCCAGGCTACCGAAACTATATGTATAATTAAACGTTTACCTCGTACAATAGCAGCTTCTAACCTCTATATTGCCACTTCACTTTGTTTCAAAGAAAATTCTGGCGTCAAGCAAATATAATTACTTTTGTTTAAGATAAACCCCATAGCCGATATTCGTCATGTATATTCTTTCTATATTCATGACTGCTTTAGAAATTGTAGCTTCGCATTTTGAGTTTTAGTATCTCGTTTGAAATTTTCAGGCACACTACGCGATGCTACATTTTAGTTGATGACCTGTAAACATGCTCATTTTACTAATAAAATTTTTAAATATATCGTCACAACGACCTTCAAAAATATGTTATATGGGACTTATGGTCATCTAAAAATGATGGATGTTGTAACCATCAAATTTTTTCTAACAGTTGAAAAACGAACAATGCAGTAAGATGACATCATTTCCAATAAATAACCGCAAAGTCTGTGAAATAAGCCTGTCGAATTTATGCTGTAACGCTAAAAAGACAAAACTAACGTTGTTTAAATGAACATTAACAGAAAGTTACTATACAGGATAACTGCACCAAAAATAAATATTGGGCTATCGTGTATTTCAGGAAAACAAAATACGTTTGCTGAGTATGTCATACTTTGCTAACTATCCACAATTTACTTGTTTATTTTCGATTGACTGCTTTTTGCACTGAAATATTTTATCAAATGATTTATTTATTATCTTTCTTTGAATTTAAAACCCTTAGGTATTTTGCTGGGATACAAATAATTTATGTTGCTATTCAATAACATTGCCATTAACTAGACAAGAATAAGCACAATCATATCTATTATACATTACATGCGATGACTTCAATATATCTACCAGGTGTAAAAGTTAATGTTCACATGGACAAAGTGTTAATATCAAGAGACAAATAAAGATAATTAGACTACCGTCTATCTCGGGCTACATATTTTCTTAACAAATATGGATACTTCGTACCGAAAGAACATTTCGAGGCCATTTACGTGAGTATTAATTTTTCGTAATAATAATGGTACTCAGCAAACAATAACCCATAGATTAAAAATGTGTTAATCAACGCGCGGAATGTCTGGTAAATGCAGCAGAAGTAATAAATCACCCTAGATCAGAGGTGATAACTTTTGCAGGATGGGTTATACAATGCGAGATCAACCCTTATTATGCTGAAAAATCTTTCTTTAATGCTTATTGTATTGCTTTGTTTTTATGTTGATTGTTCTGTTGATCCACATTATGGTTACTTGTGCATCCGCTATGATCCTTTGCCCTTTTTCATTACCTATCGCGAGCTAGTAGTGCTGTCATTGGAATCACGCAGCAGAAGTAGCTCTTACCTACGCTTAAAATATCGACCAAGTCCCATTGCGGTTAAGCGCTAAGTGCCTACTATATTTGTATCGCAATATGTAACAGTTGAGTTGAATTATATGAATATCCCTTTTGTTTTTATACGTGAAAGACGGAAACAGGTCATACAGGTTTACGATTTTTTACAGATGTTTTAAAGTTTTAATTCTGCGCTTGTTTACGAATGGATTGTTCCACCTGTCAAACTTAAATTGTGGAATTACACTAAAGGCACGCGTGTCCTTGTTAAATGTACATATGACGCAAGATAGCCCTCACCTTAATATAATTTCATTCGTCAATCGCTACGTCAAGATGAAATATTCGCGAATGGAATTCCGGAGTTTTAATTGCTGACTTTCGTCAGTTTTTGGCATTACATACCATCGGCTTTATTAACTTCACCAAGAATATGTCATCTACAGCATTTAAAAATATCTTAGCTTGTTCTTATTCGCTAAATTACTGTTGGTTGTAGTATCTCTGAAGAAGGAAAGATGTCTTTACTTTCTCTTCACATCCGAAAGATTTTTGGATAATGCGTAGTTTTTTATTGCAGGAAAAAGAATCTTAAATATCATGCTTTTTTGAGTGATGAAGAATAAATCAATTTATTCTTTAAGCAAGTACACTTTGAAATATTTCTAAATAAATTTGCTATGAAGACCTAAAATTACATTAATATCAATGATTCGAATGTTACTATCGCTCAGCTTATATGCAGTTGTGTCAAAAATCGATATTGTATAAAAAAATCACTTGTTCTGCTTTTTATGTATTTTAACCGACATCGGCACACACATTTTTCCACTATTTAAAATATGTTTTGCAAATAAAGAATTTTTATTGATTTGAGCTCAATTTCCGACTAATTTTTTAAAAATTATTCGTTCATGTTAATGCCTCTTGTTAAGCTCGTTGATGTCTAAAGTATACCTTTCCTTTAAACAAAAAATCTTTATAAATTTGTATTGAGCTGTACGCATAATTTTTCACCTTATTTTATTTTAAAAAATGCGTTTTACAAAGAATTTTACACAAAGTTATATGTAAGTACATTTATATCCCAAATTCACGCAAATGTTTAATCGTTTATATGTTATACATATACATATATAATCTATACATATAACAATACAACAAATACAATAGCTCAATAAAGTCTACTTACACTACGCAAAATTAAAATTTCTCTTTTTAAAAACTTCATTTATGGATTAAAGGTCAAAAAATGTATTTTATAAGAAACTAAAACTTATATCAAATAACGTTTTAGGACTTTTTTTTGACTTAAGGTAAATTTATAAGGAAAAAATATACTTTAATCTCATAAAAAACACAAAATGTCTACCTACAGCAACACTGAAGGATTCAAGAAAAACATCTATATTTAACAGCATTTAGTTTTTGTAGCTGTTTTCGTACATTTGAATAATAATTCATCCATTAAAAAGAATTTCTTTATTTCTTTTCCCTAAAATGTAGGGAAAAATCGTACGAAGCAATTGTAAAAACAATTGGAATTAATCGTGCTGCTATTCAAGCTACTACAAAAAATTAGAATAACACAAGCAGAAAATAAGCAGCGATCACGTCAACCAAAAAATCTCACGGAGCATGAATATCGAAATATCAGAATTGTAGCAAATGAAAACAAAATTAGTACTGTTGCTATTGTAAAAGACCTAGAAAAATATAAACTAGTTAGTATTCCTCTCGAAACCGTTCAAATGTTTTAAGGGTCAAAGATTTTCATAGCCACATTCCAAGAAAAAACTAGTTATAAGTGAAATTAATATGATACTCCGAGTTGGAAATCTCGACAATATTGATGACATAAACTTTTGGCAAGCTGTAATATGTAGTAACGATTTTAAGTTTAGTAAATTCGGTTACGATGGTGAACAAAAAGTAAAGAGGAAACCTAATTCAACGATGACAATCCAAAATTTATTACCAACTGCAAAGCATGATGAATTGTCTGTCATGGTTGGGAGATGCATGGCTATGAACAGCTATGAAAATCGTTGGATCTTAAAATATTTCGGATTATATTATCTTATATTTGTGTAGGCCTTTTGGAATATCAACAGCACTAGTTTCGGATTTACAATTGTAATAATATTTGTTACAATTGTGATAATATTTTGATTTTCAGGCTCTGTAATGTTGTTTAATTGGTCTAATCGGTGCTAATTGGCTGTGGCATTTGTGTTATTGAAATTTTTTGAAATAGTTTGACCGGTAGTACGACTACTTCCAATTGTTTGTGCTATTTCTCCGTACGAGTATTTCCCACTTTATAACCATATTTCTAATCTCTTCAGAAATTTGTTTGTATTTTTCCATTATTTTTAACATTTTAACGGAAAAAACAACTTCTTTTAATTAACGTATTATTATTTAAATGTGCCAAATCTAGTATAAGAACAAATTACCTCCAGTTGTAATCTTATATTTTTGCTGTATGTACACTTTTTTATGTTATTTTATGTGGTTGAACTATATTTTTTGTTTAAAACTTTATCGTAATGCAAAAAAGTCATGAGCTGTTATTTTATATAAGTTTTTGTTTCTGAAGAAATATATTTTTTGACACTCAACCCATAAATGGAGTTTTTAATAAGACAAACCCCAAATTTTCGTCGTGTGTACAGACTTTATTGAGCTGCTGTATATATGAATACGAACTGTAATAGAAAAGCAAATACTTGAATAAGGTGCTCGGCACAATTATTACGTTATGCGTTTGGGTGTTTCTGAGATAATATCTGTTGATACATAGCTTACTTGCGTTGCTAAAGCAAAATTGCATGGTTAGCCTTTGCTTACGTTACTGAAGATAAGATATTAATAAAATGAAAACTCATTTTAAAAGCATATGACAACTTTATTTATTCTTGGTAACTTGATATAACAGTTAATAACACAATATTTATAATTAAGTAGCAATTTTTAACGTGATCATGCTTCAAGGTTTATGAGGAGCAATTTGAACGACAAAAGAAGATAGCGAAAACTTGACTTTAGTACTATGGCGTGGAGCGTTATCGCCGTTCGAAATGAACTGTGGGCTAAAAAGTAGATTGTAGAAACAGAACTCAGCATCACTACGGGACCGTGATACCAAAAGTGCCTCTAAATGAGAGATATATTGAAAAACTATTGTAAAAAATTGTAATAGTTATTATATTATGAACAATAAGTTAGTTTACATAAATAAATGAAAAAAAAAATTCACTTACAAAGAAAAGGATAAGAGCATAGAATTCATTTATAATATAACAAATTCACCTTATGTTTTCTTGGGAGTTCGTGTTTCATCATTGTCGTTTTTCCCCTCTACATATTTGTCGCAAATTTTCGTTTAAAAGAGACAGGCCTCCTTCCAAGATTAACTGCGCTAATTACTGTCAGCGCAAATCAATCAATCAAATCAATTTCGAAATTTATTTCGATCCTATTTGTTTTAATCCTAAAAGCAAATTTTGTTATATATGTAACGCTGATATACATATTGTATTAACTGATTCGACGCTATGAAACTAAAACTGCGTTATAGAATTTTACATGTAGCATGATTGGGAAAATAAGCTTTACCTGAAAGTGCCTTCTGTTGGAATCCATGGAAAAGTGGTCTTTCGGCGATTTCGACCTTCCTTTGTTCATTTCAAGTAAACACTATAGAAGTGGAATTCAACTATTGGTAAATTTTTTGTAGCATATAGCACTGTAGATATAGTATTCCACTCTTTTCTTTTTCCAATTCACTTGATCACCTAAAAAACCTTTGTTGCGTACTGTTTCTTGTTTATATACCTCATTGATCTCTACTTCAATTATTTTTTTGCACACCTTAAAAATGTATAGCCGCATTTAGGTTATTTTCATTTAATGTTTCATCTGCTTTATTTCAATTAATTTAGCTTATTTCCTCCGCTTTTGTTATCAAACCGACATTGTTTTAATAAAAAGGAAGCAATTACTTTAAAGCCTAAAATATTAACGATATGATTTTGTTTTGTTTTCCTAAATACATCGTTGTTTACCGCTGAAAAACGATGCACGCCGAAATTTCAAATTTTTTAATAAATTTGTGCTCACGCATAAGCCAATTAGCTATCGCCTACCTTTAAATATACACAAGTAATATTATTTTGGCAGCTCGCAAACCACGCATAACGCAAGCATTGTATTTTTCACTTATAACAAACACTTGCGATGCTTTCGGAATAATATGTTAAAAGAAAAATCCTTCGTTCTCATTTCATTCACACTTGATACACACGTCATCTCTGCAAACGGCAGCTGGACAATATTTGTGTTTTACCAGTGTTAGTGCAAAAAAAAGAGAATTTACATATTTAAAAAAAGGAAAAGAGGTTTAATAAAGTAATAAAATAACCAAAGAAAACAATTTTGAAGGGAGAAAAGGAGGGAAAGAAGAGGAATCTCTCGTGAGAGAAAAATTAATAAGCAATATATACATTAAATTTTTGGTTTTTCGTTGTGATTTTTACTTTTTTTTTTTGTTTTCCCCGTGATAACAACCAAAACAACATCAGCCCGTCTCGCAGTGGAGACTGGGTCTGATCTTATAACTACTGATAGAGACTGTTTTGCAGATCTTTATATGAATGCCACTGGGCGCACCAAGAGATCGAGGATGGGTGAGAATAACCTTCTTTCATCTCCTAATGAAGAGGATAACGCAAATGTTTCAATTATGTCTAGTAAAGCGGCAGTCGACAAGCCCTCTGATTTGGGTGCCACAGCCGCCCCAAATCTCGAGATCAATTTGTACGATTGCCTTTCGAAGTGCAATTTCGTCGTTTTTGTCGAAACGTGCGCAGATGCAGAAGGAAATCGCATCCATCTCTATTCTCTATTTTTATGATTACTTGAAAGATTTCAACATGTATGGCTTACAAGAATTAAAAGTTATCATACCGAGGTCCTTCACTGAGAGATTTGGAGTCATTCGAAACATCGCATGCACATACAGTGTCGATGATATAATTAAAAACGCCGTATCCGATATTCCGATCAAGTCCGCTGTCCGTTTTCAAAGAAGAAATCCCAATAACAAAGATGAGTGGATTCCCACTACCAGCATCAAAGTTGGCTTCAAAGGGAGAGCCCTCCCTAAATCCATAAAATTTAATTATTGTTATCTGCCGGTTGAGTATTTTGTACCCATTTTAAAGCAGTGCTTTAAGTGCGGTAGATACGGTCACGTGTCAAAATTCTGCAAAGCTAAAGAGAGCAGGTGTCTTAAATGTGGGAAGTCTCCGAAGTGTGTGAACTGTGAGACGATAAGGTGTTTGTCCTGTGGTTCAGGTGAGCACAACACTCTAAGTATTGCCCCAAGAGGGAACTTGAATCAAATATCAACAGGATCATGGCAATTAAAAATCTCTCGTATAAAGGTAAAAGAGAATTTTTCCGCAAATTATTTCGAATGTCTCGATGACATCACCTATGACGACAATTTTCCTCCACTGGGGAACACGTCTGCAATTTCGACCAAGGATGATAATCAAAATGCCAACAAATTTTTAACTAGAAATAAATATAATGCTGTCGTCAAAAGGAAATCGGTTCCTTGCAAATCTCCTCTCAGTTCACCCACCAAGCCTTCTCTCAATTCACCACCCA